GCCCAGCAGTGGGGCAGACTGACCAGGAGTGTAAAATGTTCTGGCTTTGGTCTCAGGAACTTAAAGTCTCAGTTTAGGCAATTTTGGTTTAGGGCCTTTTGTTACTCTCAGCCTGGGTGTGCTCTTCTGCACACAGGAGTCAGTCGCAACAGCCTTGTCACCTGGTGTACCTACTGCTGCCATCTGTTGTAATTTCAACATGCATATTGTTGTATTGGGTAGTATTCTGAAAGCCCTGGGTATAGCTGATAATGTATTAGCTTTAATTTTAAAAAGTAAGCACCTGCTTATCATGATTATGGAAAAGTTTCGAAGTAGACCTGACTCTTCTCTAAAGGCTGAGTAGAAGACAAGGAGAGAACCTCAGAATAACCTGAACATGTATGTGCATCAGTCTCATGATTTCTCAGGGATGACTTGTTTTTTCTATGCCATTCGGGATTAGAAATAATTTGTCCAGGCAAATGGTAGTTTATTTGAATCCATTCAGATGCAGATGACAGTATTCGCCATACTTTCCTTGTTTATTTAATCTGTTCTTCTTACAAAGTAGAAGTACTTTGGTGAACCCTATAACAGCACTTTTGTTAAAGTGAGATCATGGTTCTCCTCTTTATTCTGTTCAGTTTTTGGTTCCTGTATGCCATATTCTGCACCTGCATTGAAGTAGGCCCATACCCGTGCAGTCACCTCTATAGCTTTGTAATTTTGCCTTCCATCACATTAACATTTACTGCTCTCTTTACAGCATTCCCTTCACTAAAAACCCTGGAAAACCTACTAATGCTAATTACTTGCAAATAGTAATTGTAATTTTGATGGCAACCTCAGTAAATTGCTTTTTATGTACTGTAAGAAAATTGAAAACCAAGTGTCCATTTTGCTGTTTAATAAGAATCTTACAGAACAAGAAATAGTCCTTTCACTCCTTCCATCTAGTGGGAGCATGAGTAAGAAGCTACAGATGTCCACTGAGAATTGCTTCTTGAGCCCCGTGGGGTTAACAGGAGTTGAGACAGCCAAAGGCTCGGTAGGTGCAGAAATGAAATAGAAATGGAAATGCAAGGAAGACGAAAGATTAAGGTGAAGAGACTGTGAAAGAGGGTGAAGCATAAGGAAGATCACACAGGGCAGAAGAAGCCCTATTAAAACTTTAGAAACATCTCTGGATAAAAGACTGGAGCATTTGGCTGGCTTCTTTCTGCAGTTGTATGGGAGCTTGAGTCCAGAACTGTTGCAGCTGTAACGATGTTGGGCCGGGTTCAGGGGAGGAGATAACAAATATCAAAGTGGTAACGCCTTATACTATAATACAAGGCCTGTTTTTTCATCAGTAAAATTGGTGAGGAAAACATCTCACCTTGCATGCACGTTACATGTGCAGTAGAAGAGCTGTGAGCTGGTGATCCACGTAGAGGTAAGTTAGCATCAGTAAGCCAGTTATTGCTGCCCCAGAGTTTTTGCACATCGTGTAGAGCAAAGTGCCTGGTAGGAGGACGTTTTTAGGCATCCTAACTCTGTGGATGTTGCAAGCTGCTGCTTTCCCACCAAAGCAACAGCTCCTGGCTCTGGCTGTGTTCTGCCGTGACTCTGCCTGCACCGCATCGGGGTAGCACCCATAGCAGCGAAGCAGCTCGCAGCTGCTGGTGGTTTCTGCTGGGAGGCAGCATCCTGGCGTTTGCAGATCGGCTCTGCTGGGCCCCTCGCTGCAGGTGGAAACCGGTGCCTTGCACACAGGCATGAGGAATCCCTTATCACCTGCCTGGAAGTAACTTGCCTCGGAGTCTGCAGTGATTTGGCAGGAGCGGAGCGCTGTGTGGTTTGGCAGACATTTCCAGAATGGGCCAAAGGCAAAGCAGACTTGGGAGAGAGGAAGCTCTGGGTGGGGAAATGGTGATGGGAAGGAATCATGACTTGTCCCAGGCTGCTGCTCTGACTGCCCTCAGTCCATATCCAAGTGCCCAAAGAGAGGGGGGAACTGAAAACGTGTCTCCTTACACAGACCTTTCCCAAAGGATGCTGGCAGGAAAAGTAGCTCTGGATTAAATCCATTTGCTCCTAACGTAGTCCGTACCTAGTAGGAACCAAACTCCAGCCTGTCTTAATAATTTAAGCTTTGCAGAACAGAAGCTGGATGAAATTTTGACCTTATGTATTACTGCTGTGTAAGTAATCCTCAGAAACACTCTCAGTCTTGTTAACTGTTTGTAGTTACCACAGGACTTAGGAATAATTATGTTGTACTTCTGCAATAAAAATAAAGCATAAAGTGTGTTCTGGATTGTAAATTTTGCATTAAAATAGGATTTAGAAGCTTGGGAGAAGCTGGCATTAATGGTAAGAGTTGGTTTAGGTAGTCTTGTTTAATTCAAATGCAGTTGATGCATATCTCTTATGTGCTGTATATTAGTCTTGGGTTTTAAAAGGTAGAAATAATTTGTATACTGTGTTGATAAATGTGCCAGAAACAATAGCTAGAGACATATGTATCAAAATAGAAAAGGCAAGTGGCAAGTTACAGCCAGGGGTAGTTGTAGAAAAAAAAACCCGAAGTAAACACCGAAAGACATGGTCCGTGTTCAGAGTTGACACGTAGAGGAATGTGAGTCTTGGGTAGATATATATTGTATGAAAGATATGAATGAGCATAACTGTTGTTTACGAACAATTTGCACCTAATTGAACTTTTGTCCAAGATAACTGTCACTGCTGTTTGTGTGGTCAATGAATTGGCTTGTGCTGTATTTTTTAAAAAGATTAACCTGTCCCTTTTGATTTTTGAGGTGTTCATATCCACAGTGCTTTTTAATTCTGTACCAGCATTTACTACAATTTGGGCCCTTAATTGAAAACTTGTATATGATTATCAGTAAAGAGGTGCTTTATTACATCTTGGGTTTTCTTTTAAAGAATGCTTTATAATATAATATATCATACAGTAAGCTGATGTCTGTTCGTATTGAAATGCCCCATTCAGAGCTCTTCCACAGAATCTTGTTTTAAAGAGTGGAATTCAGCAGTTGACTCCCAGGCACAAATAACCATGTAATTACTCTGCAATCACATAGTAATTAGCATGTACTATTCATATATTGCATAATGATATGCCCTGCAGATTACATAGTAATTATATTTGTACTAAACATATAATTGTATATACTGTATAAAAAAAACCTTTGAGAGTTCATAGTTAAGATTATAGTTGTGTGCTAATGTAATACAACATTTTATATAAAAATGTTACAATTTTATGAGGGTTGTATTTTGGATATCTCATCTCTTCTGCATCTGGTGTTGCTTAAACTGTGGTAGGCTGCTATTATAGGAAATGCTTGGCTCTGTTAATTTATAGTCAAACATTGCATGTTTATAATTTTGTAATTTGTGAAGATAAGAAGCAAAAAGTTTCAGTTTATTGTGCAAGAAACTGGGATTGGGAAGGACTTGGGGTATGAATGTCAAATGTACATACGTTAAATGTACGAACCCACTGAACATAGTTACAGCATATCACTAGAGTGAAAAATCTAATGCTACTTATGTATCGCGTTATTTCTGAATATGTAAGTTACGTGAGATAGTAGCAGGTGATATATTTGTATAAGGTGAAGTGTCTGCTAGCATCCAAGGACCATCTCAGGCACGGTCAGTTCAAGCAAATGCAGTACCTTGGTGCACCATGTCAGCCAAGCTACATCATCTTTTCCTGATGTGGAAAAAGAGAAAAGGTTGATGTCCTGATCTGGGAATGGGAGGCAGAGTAGTAGGAGATTTGAGAGGAGTGGCACTGAGTTGTAGAAGGGCCTTAGACTGAGTTTCTGGGAAAAGGTGGAAGATCTAGGAAGAAAGCTTTTTTTAAGAGGAACTTAGGGCCTTTTAGATCGTTTGAGATGTTTTATCTTTGGCCATCCCCCCTAGGAGGTTGCTGCAGATTTTTAGAAATTTGCAAAACGTTTCATTCAGCTTGCAAATTCTGTAGCAATGGGAAGTTAATGTATTTTCTTGGATCTGTGATGTTGGCATTCCTAATATTGAAAGCAGCATTACGATTATTCTTAATTGAATTTTGCATTCTAATGCCAGTTGCCTTCATTTTCAAGCAAAGCATATATTGGGTTTTAATATCTGGATAATGTATTGCAAAATTAAATGAGTAATTATAGTCTTAACTTTTATCTGAGTTTAATTTTTTCTGTAACTTGTAGCCTGTGCATGTGTGTGTGTGTGAGACATACTCCTTGTTTTAAAATGTTTCTTTCACAGCCACTTGTTAGTTCTACGTCAGCTTTTGCAAAGCTTGTAAACTTCATAAAACTGCCAGGGTTCAGGTGGCGTCTATAGATCTTATAATGGTGTCTTTAACTAAGCATGGAGCTCACAGGCTGTGTGGGTGGCCTTAGAGGACTCACAGTCATGGGGCTGCACCTGCCTTCCTTTCTGTCTGGGTGGGCTGGTTTTATACCTCAAAAACTGTAGTAAGCGGCATGTGGCTTTTACATTCTGCAGAGTACACAAATTACATCTAAATGTTGTTACCTGGTGTAGATACTGAATGTCATTTGTACTGTTCAAGGGAAAAAAAAAAAAAAGTCAGAGCTTTACAAAACCAGAGTGAGGAGCCCACGTTCTCACTGTGTTCTCGTGTGATGGGCAGACGTATCCCTTCCAATTTACCAGCGATTTTAATAGCTTTTTAGTGAGGCCAAGTCTTACCCAGTATTCATCCTGCATGTCTGCTACAAAGAAAATGAAGTACAGCCTGCCCGGTGTAATAGCCATTTATTTGCCAGCATTCTGATCTTAACGCATGCCTGTGCTCTTGTTCACTCGTTAAACCGTTACCCTAAGAAACATAAGGACTGGTCACAGTTTCTGGCACTGAAAGTTTTGTATGTAACAAATATATAATCAGGATCTCATTGACAGTGAAATAAAGACAAACATCAAAACACAATATAAATGTGACGCATTTCTTACTGCTGTTGTGTTGTTTTTTCTAGTGGAGCCAGTACTTTCAAAGGGGAACAATTGCTTGGATGCAGCAAAAGCTTGTAACCTAAATGATACCTGCAAGAGGTTCAGATCTGCTTACATAACCCCCTGCACCAGCAGCACGTCTAATGAAATCTGTAACAAGCGGAAGTGTCATAAGGCCCTCCGGCTATTTTTTGACAAAGTTCCCCCAAAGCACAGCTACGGGATGCTCTTCTGCTCCTGTCGAGACGTAGCCTGTACAGAAAGGAGACGGCAGACTATTGTTCCTGTGTGTTCATATGAGGACAGGGAGAAACCAAACTGCCTGAATTTACAAGAGTCCTGCAAGAAGAATTACATCTGCAGGTAAGATAGCACATGGCAGGGGAGTGATTAATGAGGTACCAGAGAGAACTTTTTGGAACTGCTGGATTTGCCAGGACTAAGGGTCAGAATATCCACTAGGGAAAAACGTGAGTCAGGGGAAAAAAGCGGACGCCTCTGACATCCTTAACAGAATAACAAAAGCCTGTATCTGGTTACAGTGTGTGCCTTCTCCAAAACTGTTCACAGCTACTCCCTCACATTACAGAGGAATCCTTAAACCCCCAGTTTAATTTTTACAGATTTTTGTTGGAAAAATTTTCCTTAGGTGTCTCTATGATTCTATGTCTCAGAATGATTTTTATGTCCCATTAGTGACCAGGTGAAAGTAGAATTATTCATTATAATGGGATTTATTTTCATAGTAATCTTACGTGTGAGCATTAATAACTGTGAATACAAGCCACTTGTTGGACTTCATAAATGGTCACAATACGCAGACTACTCTTGGAAAAAAAGAGTCCACATTTGTAGACTAGATCCCACTATCTTTGTAGAGCTGTTTTAGCCTTGGAATTGTTTTATCTCCCCTCCCCTGACAGGAGTGCTGGGCTGATACAACCGGAGGGTCATTGATTCACTGACCTAATTCCCAGCCTCTTTCCTCTGTGTGTTCAGCCGGGGCGGCAGCGCAGAGCGCTGCTTCACAGGACAAGCTGGGTCCTTTCGCCTTCATCGAGTTCCCTGCAGGCTGTCACACAACGCTTGTTCAGTGGCGTACAGGACCTCCTCTGCCCTTAGGAAATGCTTTATTCCTACTTAGCATTGTGTACATTTATATTAGAATGTTGTTGTGCTAATGTCTTATTTATGAAGTTATGCCCGTGAATCTTGCTCATTTCTAATGTGTAAATTCCTGTTAGATTATGCAATTCTGTGAATTAGCAATCAAGGAAATAAACACTATTGTAAAATGTCAAGGACGCTGAAGATACGATATAAATCTTAATAAGTCCTTAAATACCCCTGGTAAAATATTTACCTTGAAGTTTGTTTATGAGATCTCCACTGCTGATCTTAAGCGTTTAGCCATAGCACCTCAGATGTGCCCGAGTGTTGTTCAGAGGTGAGGAGGCAAGCAGCGCCCTACCCTCAGTGGCTCAGGGGAAATCTGGAGCCAGTTTCCTTCTGACCCAAATTTGAGCAGATTTAAATTGAGAGCAGGGTTCTCGTCTCAGTCCAGTGGGTTGCATTCAGCACCTTCATAGCTGATGCTGTTGCAGTTTATGAAACCTGGATACATGTAGTCTCAGAACCACCTGTTTTCCAAGTTCATGTTGTGCCATTAGTCTTTTTGCTTATATCTATTGTCTTCCATATACACAGGCCCTGTTAATTAACAGAGTTACAGTATCTTTACTGTGTTTTCTGCCAAACTTCCAGTGTGTTACAGTGCCAATGAAATAGGAGAGAGGAGTTTGTAGGGAGCCTTCTTCCTATTATTCAGGTTGTAGTGTTCAAGAATTACTTCGTTATGCCATTACTTCTCTCATGACCGTGTTTTCCTTTGGTCATCTTTGATCTAATGTTGTCTCAGCAGCAAAGTGTTTAATGGCATGTTGTTTAATTTGACTTCACGAGTCTGGTGGTGTGCTTTCTCCGTTGCAATGCTGCAGAGGAAAGCTTGGTAAAATCTCTGCTCCCATTGCCCTAAGTTGCAGCCAGCACTGGGGTGAAAATGGATTTCTTTACAGGTTCTTCCTGTGTCTTCTTTTGCTTTAAAATGCCAGAATTAAAGTTTGGACTCTTCCAAGGCTCAGTGAGACCTGACTGTGAGGACGAAGGGCAGCACTGGTACAAGGGAACGGGTAGGCAAATGCCTGTGGGGTCTGGGGCAGTCAGTGAGTCCAGCCCTTAGGTCCTATGCCTGGAGGTAAAGCAAGCTTGATGTGTTGCTGAGAGTCATCTCATGTAGGTGTTAATACCTTCTGGGCTGTCTAAACTGCTAGTGTATTTAATACCTTCCTTCTGTACTGTCATGGAGAGGAGGAATCGGCAGCAGAGCTATTCCAGCCTATCCATAACATGGTGAAAGACATTTTGTCTCCGTGACTTGTGCACTTAGAAGGAGTTGGTGTGGGTTTTTTTTTTTTTTCTTTCTTCCCCGTGTCCTGCTGGAAAATGGGGACTTGGGCAGGGGAGGAGAGAAAGGGGAGAAAATCTCCTCCCTGCTATTGAAAGTATTGGCACTGATAAATAGTCAGTCTACATAGTCATTCCAGATATGTTCAGAATAATTAAAAGCAGTAGTCGTAGGCATATAATTCTAACTCTGATAACTTCTATTTCATTTTGAAATCAAAAAGAGTATCTAAATGGGAGAATAATTTGAGAATATGTTCTGCCTATTGTGAAACAGAGTCATTTAGAAACTATTATTTGCATGCCTATTACATCTATTAAAGCTTCTTCATAATGCTAGTTAAGACAAGTGGGACAAGTTCTAAAGGGTTTCTGAAAGTACACTTAAAAATGGTTTACGAACGCTGCTTACTCAAAAATGCAAGATTTCAATCTGCCCATACTCTGTATAAAATATCAACTGGGCCTGTGCAAACAAGTGTTCAAACATTCAGTTTTGGATGCTCTTTAAAAGCTTTGTCCTGGACGCATATATCACTGAATCTGTTTTTGAAACTTAAGAGCAGGGAAGCAATTTGGCCAAACTGTAGGTACCACTAACTGAGACGGCTGGACACTGTACTTATTTTTTTCTTTTTTATTCATTAATCTATCTGGTATATAACATAAACTCTCGATTGATGGAAGAAGAGACCAGAAATGTCAGGAAATGCAAATAAGTTCTGACTTATGTAAACAGTCCTAATTTTTCATCCTCATCAGAATGCTGAATCATTCACTTTCATTATAATTTTTCTGCTGCCTCTGCTTGTATCCCAGTCCATATACAGCTTTGAAACCAATTGGAGTCTCTCAGAAATGCCTGTCAATGCTCACTGAAAAGAAAAGCAAAAAAACCAAAGAACAAAAATGTCCTGGTTTTGGCTGGGATAGAGTTAATTTTCTTCCTAGCAGCAGGCATAGTGCTGTGTTTTGGATTTATGAGAATATGAGAGTATGAGAATAACGTTGATAACACATTGATGTTTTAGTTGTTGCTAAGTGGTGCTTACACCAGTCAAGGACTTTTCAGCTTCCTGTGCTCTGCCAGGGGCACAAGAAGCTGGGAGGGGGCACAGCCAGAATAGTTGATCCAAACTGCCCAAAGGGCTATTGCATACCATATGGCGTCATGGCCAGTATAGAAACTGGGGGGGCTGGCTGAGGGGGCAGCGATCGCTGCTTGGGGATGGGCTGGGTATCAGTCAGTGGGTGGTGAGCGGTTGTATTGCTTGGGTTTTTTTCCCCTGGGTTTTGTTTCTCTCTCTTGTTGTTCTCCTTTTCATTACATTTTTTATTACTACTACTACTACTACTACTATGATTATTTTATTTCAATTATTAAACTGTTCTTATCTCAACCAATGAGTTTTCTTACATCTGCCCTTCCGATTCTCTCCCCCATCCCATCATGGGCGGAGGGTGAGTGAGCAGTGGTGCAGTGCTTGTTGCTGACAGGGGCTGAAACACAACAAAAAAGAAGCCATTAGAGTTCCTTTTTATTATGAACATAAACAAAACTTCTAAGGCAAGTCAATATACTGTCAAAAGCTTTCACCAGTGATGATGTCCTGGAATAGCTCAAACCTCTTGAGGAACCTCCTGTTCTGATCACTTCAGCCACCAATTAAACATCAGAAAGTTGACTGGCATGTTTTAAAAACATCATTCTATTGTAAATGCAGGGCAGTGTGCTTCATTTTTGCCACTATCACAATTAACAGTATTTCAAATACTATTTTATTTGAGTAATGAAAGTGTGGGTCATTAGTTTGGTCTTTTTAATAATCTGTGTTTTGAATTTGCATACTTCCTCTGTCTCCTGGATGTGTTCAGAAGGCACTGACCAGAATAATAATGATACAGACGCATTATTTATTAAAAGAACAGTATCAATCCAGTCACGTGCTGCAAAGATCTGAAAAGAAGGGTGGCATACAATGAGGCATTTTTTGTTAATATAAGAATCTAGTAATAGCATTATTTCTTGTCCTCCACAATTACTATATTCAAAATGGTTGGTCAAAACATTGAGGCTCATTTTTAAGGTAAAATACCCAGAAAGTAATTCTTGACTAATTTCAGAAGACAGCTGTTTGGACCTTTTTTTTTTTTTTTTTGGCTAAAATAAATACTATTCTTTATGTTTTGCCTTCAGTTCTGTAAAAAGCACATGTTGCTGGCTACAGCTATTTGATGCTGAAAAAAAAGAAGATAAAATGGCTGCATAATATATTTAAATAACTTTTCCTTGTGGGATGTCTGAAGGATAATAATGAAATGTCCTATTACGTTTCAGTAGATGGGTCATCTCCCTGAAAATATGATAAAACTGTTTTTGGCACTGTATATTTAGGGAACTAAATCTTTATAAATGTGCTTTCATTGGTGTGTTCTTACCTCTTGGCCAGTTTCTGGTCACCTCTCCTATCCAGTCTTAATTTTGTTGCAACCACTCATACAATTCTGTATGAAAGAAAGCTGCGTCTACAGTTATAAGAACACTGTGTGAAGATATGCAAACATTTTCATCAGTGCATAAAAGAGTTCATCCGCAGTAAAAGCTAGAACAAAAGCTCAGCTCCTTGCTACATTTCCTGAAAATGTAAGAAACTTGCCAAGAAATTATTTTTCCTTCTTTATATTCTGTTGAACATTTTTAATGATAATTCACCATGGAAAGGGAGTCACTGTATCTGTGCTCCTTTTCCATAAGGCATGTGCAGATCTGCAAGTGCTTTATACTACTACGTGTTTGTAAAAGTGGCTTCTCTGCGTAAGACTGCTGGGCTGCTCCTGCAACATGTACCATTACTGACTGCAAACCCTACACCCTCATGGATAAGATTTGCCAGAGGAGG